TTGAAACTCGGCTTCGAGCTCCTGCAGTACGCATCACATACTTCCCCCATGTTCGGCAATTTGCGATCTTCTCAACGCAACGCAGTTTTGAATTAGAGCATATGGGATTTTTGGGATTCCTTCCGTCGAAATAGAAACACAACCACACCTTGACTTTGTTACTTCTTAGGTTCTCCAGATCCTACCGAAAATCCCACCTTGACTTTGTTACTTCTTAGGTTCTCCAGATCCTACCGAAAATCCATGCCAAACCACCGGAGGTCGACGGGGAGATTTTCTTCAATGAAGCGAATCCCCCAAAAAATTGACATGCCGGGAGTAGGTCTCCCCCAGGACGTTGAAACAGAACTTGGTGTCCACTCTTGCGTGGCGAATCCGCGATGCCAAGGTCTACCAGACTCCGGTGTTTGCGGTGAAAAACGGCGACATGCACCATGAAATCTCGCTCGAAGCGCCTATTGCAGCTGACATTTCCGCCCCTATGATATCTTTAGTGCTTCACGGTGCGATACAAATCGACAAGAAGTAGGGGAAAATACAAAGGCCCTCACACTCCCGTCTCTGGCTTGCCAAGGGTGTTCAGACGGTTACACTTAGCTTGTGGATGGACACCAGGTCGAACCACGGGAGCGGCGCTGCAAGTGTCTACATGAGTGAAGCTCAATTTCTCCGATGTGTCGCATTTCATCGCCATTTGCGGGTGTTGCGCCTCCTGTGTGCCCGTTGCTAATTTCACCAGTCAGTCTATTTTCACGTATTTATCAACTCGTGGGCCCGGGCTCCTCTCCTAGAGGGGGTCGAACTCGCTCGATCCGCGACTTAGCTCGCTATGGTGCTCGTACATAAGGTAATGACAGAGAGACAAAACGGGCACGACCTGCCTCATGTTTCCGAAGCACAGCAGCACAGCAGCACGGCAGCAGCAGCAGAGCACGGCGGATGGTTTCGCCGCGATCTACGGAGGAGGCTGTCGGAGATTGGTATCCTTCGAGGCAATGTGCCCGTCAACGAGCGTTGGTGGTTTGTGTGGCTACTGTGGAGTTTGTGCGGTACTGGTGTGTCGTGCGGGTATGTGCGGTATACGTTGTTTTCTGCGGGTTGTAGACTCGTCGGGCGCCGGGATTATACGGCCATTTCTGGGTACAAAATCGACTACTTCCGGGTACACTAGTAACCAATATCGGTTACACCAGAGGGTCCTAATTCCAGCGGAAGTTGTACCCGATGGAATTTTTTTCAGAAACGGGTACAATGGTTTTTCGGCCGATCAGCTGACAGCCTGGGCGTGCAAGCGTCTTGATTTCTAAGTGTACCCGAAATTGGTGATAAAGTACCCGGGTATACCCGTTTCTGGTTACTGGACAAAAATAAATGCTAACAACACAGAAAGACTGATCTAGCATGACGTCACGTTTTGGCATCCGACGGCGCCAAATAAACATGATCAACCACGATCACGTGTCTACCTCCAAATACCATAACAACTACATGTACCCGTTCGAAATATAACCACAGTCGAACGGGATGTGTTGGGAGTCTTTGCAGTGAGTGGAGGGAACAGCAGTGGCTGATTCCACGCCGTAGATAATGCTGACTTAGTCCATAGGTTTACGGTCCCAATGGGTGTGTGGGCCACTGCTAACATACGACCCTCGATATATTAGCTCCAGCAGCAGATCTGAACGTGTGCCACCGTACATTCACCGTGGTGCCCTCTACTGATATCAGGGTCAGGAAAAGGCACTTACTTTCGTCGGAGATGTCGGAGATGAGCACCCGACGAGAACATGCTCTTCATATTTTGGGGCACCCGCCATGTATTGTATTTTCTTGGGTTTGTGAAGAAATTAAGGAATAATAAAAACACACACAGAAAGACTACCCATTCGAGATATACCCACAGCAGTCGAACGGGATGTGGTGGAGTCTTTTCAGTGAGTGGAGGGAAACCGGTTGAGTACTGGACTTGTTTCGAGTCTTTTTAAGTCTATACACTGATGATTTATACCAGTGATGCCAGCTGGTGCTAAGTACAAAAACATCTGTATAGGTAACTTACATTTTACAATACATCCCCTGTAGTTCTCTACTGGGTCAACGACAAAATATCGGGGAGAATCCCTCCGTTGTGTCGTGTATTGTAAAATGTAACCTTCACAGGGGACACGAAATGTATATGTTCCCCCCGTTGGCAGCGGCCCAATGTCGATGCGTTCGTGATCAAATGCAGCTCCCCAGACGCGCTGGACCTGACCGCGGCACGCCCTCTTTGTCTCGTTATCTTGCACCCTCACGCTAACTCTCAACTCACCCTCACTCTCTGTGATGCCTCGCACTCGTGCGCAAACTCTCACCTCACTCCCACTGCTGTGTCTGTGAATTGGTGGTGATGCAAATGCTAACCGGGCGCTGAAAGGTAGGCATCGCACCGACGTTTGACACATGATTCGTTCCTCACCTTGCTCGGAACCGGGGCAGGGAGCACTCGCCACTTCCGAAGGGGCGTTACTACGCCTCAGGTCTTCTGGGTCCCTACTCTACACACTGCTCTATGTCGGTGTTCCTCAGTGCCAAGTAACGCGCTGTCGTTGTCGTCGTTTGCGAAGACCACATGATGAACACGCACACCAAAAACGGCCGGGAAAACAAATAGAAAATGCCGCGGGTACGTCACGTATTGTAATACCGAATGAGGTCAAAAGCTAAAGGTGCGAAATAGCAGTACTCCTAGACGGGCACCCAGCGTAGATGCAACGAACACGCACAGAAAATCTTAACGTATCAGGTGTGCGAAGTACTGCCGATGCACTTCTCACAGAAGCAACAACGATGAGGACTTCGGCCATGGTTGTACGCCGAGCAAAAGAATGGAACGCGACGATTACGCGACAGTTTGACGGTTTTAACACCGACGGTTTTGGTTACACCGACTCAGGAAGAACGAATGAATGCCTCACATCTGACCGTGTGTGTGCGCCGAGGAAGGATCAACGGAAGGAATGATGTCCTTGACTGGATGGCAGGGGTGAGCGCTCTTCGATAGATGCGATGGCGGGGAATTAGCGTGTGCTTGTATGTGTGATCGATCGTGAACGAACTCAAAACGGTAGATGTGGTAGATTCGGTTTCGTTCCCTGTGGTCTGCAGATCGAAAGCTGAAATTGTGTTCAAAATCGTCCCGCTTGCCGCCGACACCCCACCGCCCCCCTGCCCCCCCGGTCGTTGTATGGTCGGCGTATTGGGCTGGGATGCTGGGGTAGGCTGGGTTTAGTTGGGTCGGGTCGCTCAAGGCCATCTTCGTCAACGATTGTGCCGCATTTGCTGAAAAATAAACACACACAGAAAGACTACCCATTCGAGATATACCCATAGCAGTCGAACGGGATGTGGTGGAGTCTTTTCAGTGAGTGGAGGAAAACCGGCTGGGTACTGGACTTATTTCGAGTCTTTTTAAGTCTATACACTGATGATTTATATCTGGCTTGTCACCGCGTACGTTTTTGGTTGAAGCTGACGACTTCTGCCGGGCTGTTCAACACGACAGCCCGACTCTACCCGACAGCTGACGCGACAGATGGACAGAATCAGTGCGCGATGGTCTTCTTCAGCCACAGGGAAATTCTGGAGACTGTGAGGAAGACTGTAAATCTATATATAGTCTTGATAGTAGGGTACACTCGCAGCGAAATTTATGCCCAAAAACACTGCGGAAGCGATAATTTCGGTTGAGTACCCGAGTGCATGTACACTGAACTTATTCGTCTGCAACGTCGACGAGAGAAAGAAACAGGAATCCTTCTCGTGATGTATGCATACCGTATATGACACAAGATAACACACCCCCTTGGCCGATTTTCAAAGCTCGATTTCTCAACAGCAGGAACAGTCACAGCGCCGAAAACGGCGGCGTTGGAACCGTCTCGTCGAGAGCTGTTCGAAAACGTATTGTTTCATTTCTGCATCCTCTTCGTCGTGGAGTAATCGAGCTTTGAAAATCGGTCCAGGGGGTGTGTTATCTTGTGTCATATACGGTAAGTCAAGGCACCCACAGCTGCAGAAGGCAGAGAATACCACTCCGCCGTCTTGCCTCACAATCTGTCCGTGCGTGTCTTCTGCCGAGAGGAAGAACTAACAGCAACATGTTTGTCATTTATGAGTGGATGGCAGGAGGGGTGGGCGCATGAGTATCGAAGTACGATGGCGATGAATAAGGTGGTGGTTGGTGACGATGTGTTAAACGTAAGCATGGATAAGGTACGGGACCGCCTTGGCGAGGTAAATAGTCCATCATTAGACAGGTTCGGGTTTCGTATCTCCATCCTTAGCCCATACCCCCCACTAAAACACCAAGCTTCCAAGCTTGATGTCCTCGGGAAGGTGCACCGACAGAGTCTGTGGCGGCAGGGAGGAACAGGCCCCACATAATATTGGGCAACTATGGGGCAGCCCCCACCCATAAACACACACACACACACACACGAATAGCCTAGCCTCTCCCATGACGCACCCTGTCCTAGATCATCTCCATTAGTCAGCCGGTTAGCGCGGTCGACGCTAACAAAAAACACGAACACACGCCTAACGCAAATACGAACGGAAGAAAGCCTCTTAACGGAAAAATATTTCAGTCTATGGATCAATCGCGCACATCTAACCGTCCTTTAATAGTTTCTACGCACACAGACAGCAGCAAATGCTCTAAAAACTGCAATGAAAGACTTGCCCAAGGGGCTAACTGCTTCCGTGCGGGCCAGAGTTCGTTCTGATCTCGGGCTGGTATCCCGCACGCAACCCCCCCCACCCCCCCCCTGCCAACCCTAACGCCCACTTGTCCGGGACAGAGCGAACGGGATATGGTGTAGCAGTGAAAAGACTCCCCGCTTGCCTTGAAACACGAAACTCCAAGCCTCTCTATTCTACGTAGCGCCAGGTTGATCTCCTCAAGTGCCGCCCTCGTGTGCAACCGCGTTGTACGCTGAGACAAAGTTGAATTCTAACAATTAAGCCTTCTTGGAGGCACCGGCGTTCCGTTTCTTGAAGGCGGAACGCCGGTTGCCCACCATGTTCATGTACATGTACGGTCCGCCCGGGACGTACACGGCCAGAAGGGCAAGTGTGACGATGTAGCCGGAGACGGAAATGGGTCCCACGCCCAGCCGTAGGGTGTCCTGGGCATTCTGGGAGCGGGGGGGGGAGCACACAAAAAACAAATGGAAGGTGGGAGCTGTAGAATAAGAAACATTGGTACTGTTGAGAAGCACGGTGACCACTAGACCCACTAGTCATCGTGATTCTCAACAAAATTCAATGCCCCGAGTTTTCTTTCAAGCCACGAACACTTACCCCCAGGGTTTCCATCCCTGTGATCGGCGTTGTGCGGAGAACTGGTTCAACAGTTGTGTAACGGTGAATTGGTGACGAGAGAGACTGCCGGAGGCTACAACTCCCGGGACAAGCATTTGCTTGTCCGGACACTGTTGAGGGCATGTCTTAGATAGTGGGTCGCACATCCATGAATTTTTATCCTTGGCTTCCGGAAATGCAAGACAACGGGAAACCTTGTCCCGCCGCAAAGGCACTCAGACTGATCTACTTGGGGCTTAAGAACAAGCAGGTCCGAGCCGAATGCAAAAGCAGTTGGGATGAACTCGGAAACTAGAATCCTTGTGTTGTGCCGCCTGAGATCGAAGCAACGTGTTCCAGGTCGTCGACAAGACCGCAACAAACCTGGTGCAAAATACTACAATAGTATCACTACTCTTGTCACTACGAGTACTACCATTACCGCTACTACTCCCAGCTCGGGTAGAAACACGCAGCAGGTGACGACAACAGAACGAGACTGCATGCAACGAAAAGCTGTAACACCTACTTTCAGGTCCGGGAGGCCGGCCAGCATTGTCATGACCTCGCCCGCGATTCCGGTCGGGTACAGGACAGCGAACAGGGAATACCGCAGGTAGAACAGTGGGAACGGGGAGCTCTTCAGCACGCCGAACGTGTAGAATAGGTACCTGCCCAAACACAGCAGTTGAGAAAACGAGGGCCGATATTGCGCAAGTGTATTAGATAGGGATTCGCGGAATTGACACCAGGAAATATCACCTGCTCGAGAGCGTTGCAGAGAGAGCACTCCATTTTAACACCGTTTACCGCACATGGCGTGGCTGCTCATAGGGAGATCCTAGCCTGTACCTTCTACACGAGTGGCCACAGTAGAGCAATAGGTGATATGGGCGGAGCGTGTACGCCTTGCCTGTTGTTAGAGGTTACCGGAATCACGCTCCCTGGTGAACCCCATGTCGGCAGTTGGTGCGGGGCAGAACTAAGGGCTTGTGAGGGCGAAAAATTGCCACAGCTGCCGCTACGTATACGCATTACGACGAAGATGCAGCCAATCCTGGCTTTGCCTCAAGATCTCCAGAAAAATCAAACGGAAGCATAAGACCAATCAGTACACTGCGCGCAACAACTAGCTGCTGCATGCACGAGTCACCAACCCTACTACCGTAGGCACACATGTACACTGGTCGAAGGCAGCGTCCGTCCAAGTTTCACCTCGGGATCTCGACGCACGCCCAGCTTGTGATGCACAGCATGGAGCCCAGCTGCCCCTGGGTGGACGGTACTGCCCACATGAAGCCCCACACCAGGATGATCCTCGAGCTCACCTGCATGAGGGTCGTCACCCAAGGGGAGCGGACCACTCCCAGCATCGCGTGCAGAACCTGAATGCGGGCGCGCCGGCGAAGGGCGGGGGGGGTAAACCCCTCTGGTTGTGTAACATCGTTTGTTTGGGCCCGCCACGCATCACGGTTCATCCTTTTGGTCGATGCATTTAACAGAGCGAGCCCATTGCAACGCGGTTGAGTGTTGTATTTTTTTTTCTTAGATGATAGATATGAGCATGCCGTGCTATCTTTTTCCACGATCGATCTGCTGCACTTTTCACGATGTGTCGGGGGGCTGGCGCCTCGGGCGCGTGGAGGAGGGGCGGTGGGAAACAACGAGGCCAGGATTGTGTACAAACGGTGGAGGATGCCGTAGCAACGTTCTTCACCGAAGCGTGCCAATGGTAACGTCATAAAGATTCCTCACGGAATGGGACAAGACCCCATGATCGACTTGCGCTCTTGGCTAGACCTCCCTTGGCAATATCACCCCATCCGACACGGACAAAGCCATTCTCACGTTTCGCTAAGGTCTTTCGACCCGCGTAGTAGATCATGTTGTACAAGGCACGATCACGATCTCGATTGCACGAAGCTGCTGAGAAGAACCGCTGACGACGGTCGCGCATTGAGCGCACCTGTCGCTGCGTGTCCTCAAAAAGCGTTTTAGGTGGGGCTCTGAATGTCCTGCTGCCGCGCCTGCGTGCAGTCTACTTGTGTCTCGCAAACCAACCGCCTCCCGCAAGGAAACGCGTCGGTGTTTGTAGTTCAATAAACGGAAGGCGTGGGGGTACGGGGATTCCCCTTGTACGCTCGCACGGCTACCGAAAAGACTGCTAGTCATTGCAACCCGGTGCGGTGGGTTGTTATCATTGCTGTTTTCTTCACATCAAAAACCGTTCCGATCTCTCTACTCAGTAGTGTCATCGTTGGTCGATCGTTTATTAAACTTTTTCGCCATTTCATGTTCATCGATGACTCCGGACGGTGCGATGACTCGGGACCATGGGTGTAAATATTTACCGCACACCCCCTGTGCGATAACTCCGGTGTGTGCGGTACATGAAGAAGTCTTCGCAGACGAACGGCGTATACCTAAGCTTTGCTTGGTGGCAGGCTCCACACGCAACGTACACACCCACACACCCAAAACCAAACAAGCGGCGAAATAAAATGCGGTGAAATAAGAACCTCAATACATGAATTATCCCACCGTCGAGTTGTGGCATGTCAGAGGGTTGTAGTCTTGGCTTGTCGCCGCTCTCTTGTGTTTTGGTTACTAGGTTACGGATTTAATGAAAATATCAAGAGCAAGATCAACATGCATCCAGTGTTCGATTCTCTTTCAAACCACTGCTGTGATTTGCGACGATGCCATACAATATACATACAGTACTTCGAAGTACAATACCGCGGAGCCAACATGCCGGCACCAGCATGGTTGCGGAGGTAGAGGTGTGAAAGTTACCCCGGAATTGTTGGCACTCAACCACCCTAGGTTGCGAGGCATCGCACCCTGTGCGGAAGTCGAACTACATGATATGTCAATTCTTAATTGTTATCAGACGGGGGCTCGGAATGCTGTGCGATACATCCGGACGGTGCGGGGAGCTCGAAAGCTCCACAACGTCCTCTGTAGACTGAATGATGTACACTGCGCATACCGCCAACCGTGCGTCCTGCTGGACTAATACACAACAGCAGTTAGCATACTGCTGTATTACGTGGCCTGTGGTAAAATCTCTGCAGAGCTCGCCAACGTTGGCGTCGCACCTCCTGCACACGGCAGGCACAGGGGACAGCTTGTATGCAGATACCGCTGTGTACAGCCGTAGCGCATAGCAGCATGGGTGTTGTAGCCAAGATCGGCCTCTGTGCAACCACCCTCGACTGCTGTACTTATCAAACGAGTCTTCGTGGGTTGTTGGAGGTCTTTCGCAAGCAAAATGCACTCCCCATACGCTACCGAGCATGGTAAGCACACCACCAGTTACTTGAAAGAGATGTGCAGCACGTGGCTCACGAACCCACCCACCTCCATCAGCGCAGCAGTCTGCACGATCTGCAGCACCTTCTCCACTTCGTCATAAAGCGCCTGGGGCTCGTTCCCGGCAAGGATATGGCTCACACACGCGAAGAGAACGTAACTCCACCCGCTGGCGCAGGCGAGGTTGTAGGCAATGAGGTACACGTCTTTTATCGGGGAACCCATGCTGTGGTGGTCGAAGCTGCAGACAGTGAAACTCTGTGCTGTGTCGTTTGTCGGGGTCTCTCACTGCTGTCCAATCTCAGAAGAGACAATAGAGGGATCGAGGCCACGCAGATAGGATTGGGTTGGGAGGAGGGGGGGTCACCCATGAGCTGGATTGTCGCATTGTCGCATGTGCACGTGGTAGGACATCCCACACAGCACGTGTCAGTGCGGTGTCTTTACACAGCAGTAGTGCGTGTGGGCAAGGTCTACATACACTCTTCCGTCCCTTTGTTCTCTCTGCTCGGACTACACGATCCAGTGTAGGGCCTCTTGCTTTTTTGTGCCGAGAGGCAGCGTGCGAAAACGTCCGCAAGGCAACCAAATCTTGACATCAGTACCGCTGTCCCGAAGGACGTGACATTAAGATGTTGAGCATCGCGAGAGCTCGATTGGGAGGGGTCGGTGCGCGAAGCATCAACGCCCTGATGCGTGCCCCGAGAACCGGGCCGGTGGCGGCGAGGTCGGCCCTCGGGTCCAGCTATGGAGGGAGCAGGCTTGCCGTCATGAAGCCGGCGCGAGCATCCTCGAGGCAGCTATCGGCGGTGCCCAAGGGCGAGGCCGAGCAGGCTGAAACGGTGTTCGAGAGACAGGTGCGCGAAGCCAAGGCAGACTTCAAGGTGTTCATGACCACGGAGCGCCAGCCCCTCAAGTTCGCGGGGCTGAACTTCACGACCACCATCGGCATGCTGTGCGGTCACGCCAGCTTCGGTATCGCGACGCTGGTCTACCTCGAGACGGACCCTTTGACGACTCGGTGAGTAAGGGATGTTCATGTGTCTCTCAACTGGCATCTGATATGTGTCATTTGAACCGGAAGACGTGCGCTAAAGTGCGCCTCCTCGCCCACAAGGGTGGGATGGCAGAGCTCTCGACGCGAGAAGGGTCTCTCTGTCGCCGCGCTTGTGTTCGGCGTGTGAGTGAAGCCTCGTAGGCCCAGCGTCCGCGGCTTCGTGCGTTTTTTCTTCATGCGGCCAGCCCCCTTTTTCTCGCGCCTCCTCGCGTAGCAGTGCATACGTGCACCGGTTGGTAACACCGCTTGCGTTCGCACGTTAGCTCAGAAGCAGATGCCACAGAAACGGCGATGGAATCTCATCATGTAGAGATTCCCACGACTGTCATCCACGCGTGCTTCATTTTCTGGCTTACCCTCGCGCCTGGGTTTTGAAGGAGAGCCGGGTGTGCTCAGCGGCATCATGATCCTCTCTGCTGTGTGTGTGCGTGCCCGAAAAATGATGTTGTCGTGTGTCGTCATCGGCTCTTTCGCCAAATTTTCTTTGTTTCACGAAGCATAGTGGGCGAGCATCCCGTGAATAGCCACGCGCCAGTTCTTTGAGTGACATGTGAACCAGAGCATCGCTGTTGACAATCCCCGATTCCTTTGGGTGTTTTTTGGCGCCAGCACTGCCTGGATCTCTCCCCACCCTCTTATCTCTCGTCAGCGAAGGCGGGGGAAAAAACTGTCCGCCGAGAGCCTGCTGCGTCTGGCTCTCTCCCTGGCTGACGTACATATTTTTCTGGAAAATCCCTCTCACATACGGATCACAGACGCTACCAGTTGGCGCGTGGGGAAGTTTCCCAACAGCCTGCAGCCGTGACGATGTCCATGTGCTCGTTGTCGGTAGTGCCAACAAGGGAAACCCTGCCAGAGATCGCTCGGATGCCAAAAGCACACCCAACTGTCCAGCTGTAGTCTATGTATGCGGCAACTCGAAAAAAAAAAAACTCGATCAATGCATCCACACACACCAGATGTCCATGTTCGTGTGCCTGGCATCGCAGTCGCGATGCTTGTTATGCGGCGTCGGTCGCTCTTGTCTGCTGTGCATGAGGGGTGTATTGCGTGGAGGTAACAGCAGTGAGGTGTGAACGATAGTCCGCGTCATCGTGATTCATTCCGAGGAATTGCGGCCTTGCGCGTGTGTCCGTCCCACGCTTCTGGCGCCAGTCGGTCTAAACACCTTCGGGTGTGGTGTGCATGTAGGCATATGCTGGCACGCCGATCAGCCGGGGTCACACGCAGGAGAGTTGTTTTGGTTCGCTTTGTGTGAAAATAATGCCCCCACCCTTTCCCTCCTGCAGTATCTCCACTTGTTTGGTTATGGCGAGAAAGGCCTTGCCTTTTTTTCCAAGTGTGTAACAGATATGTATGCATAGCATGCATCTACATCATCGATTTCCACCGCTAATTTGAACCTGCTGTTATTATGCATTGGTTAACCACGAGACCACCGGAGACCCGGGATAGTTCTGGTTGGTCTCTAACGAATCCGGTGGAACCAAAGCATTCTTCTTGCAATACCACAAGCATGAAGTTGGCAAAATACAAGTAGGAACCCTTCTGTGGCAGACAGCACCAATTTTTCTGCCCGCACCACTAACAATTGCAACCCCCCTTCCGCCGCCGCCCGCACTGCCACTGCGCCGACTAATTTGCACCCACACCCAACGCTTGTGTCGTGATGGCGTTCTCACAACACGAACAGTGTGATGGTGTTTACAGGGGCTACTTTGGGTCTGTTTTTCAGTTACTACCGCCACCCTCCGCTCATCATCTCCATCAAGTGGCTGACGCTGACCCTCATCCTCAACTCGTTCCTGCTGGCTATCCTTTGGAACGAGCGGGCGGAAGCGGAGGAACTCAATAACGACCCCGAGAAGGTTAGTGCTAGAGCGATCCCTGACAAACGCCACATCCCGTTCGAATGTGGGTGTATGTATTGTATCTCGAACGGGTAAGATCTTTCTGTGTGTAATTATTTTTCCTAATACAGCAGCAGTGCTCGCCCACTCTTTTGAACCATACGTCGTTCAATGAGCTGCTGTCTCTCGACGATTGAGCACAGGCTTCTCGCCTGGAAGTAGGGTGTAGTGCAGGCGACTAAGCTCAATTTCTTGCGCCATTTTTCTTACCATCTGAGCCTGGTGTGTGCTGTGACATGTGTTACCAGCACGAGTCGTACTGCTGTATGCACATGCACGTGACGCATGCACTCCCAGATATATGTACAATGTTTTTCCTTGTGAGCCCTGCTTCCTTTTTCTATAACAATAATATGAACGTGGTCCCGTCAGTAGGTCTGCGAAGCCCTCAGCACTTCGACCTAATAATCCTGGCTGTGTCCGTCAGCAACCTTAATTATGCCGTTGGGCCAGTCAGCCCAAAATTACCAACACCGTTGACTTGTCTAGACTAGCTTGGATAAAGCTTCCGAGAACCTGATCGCTGTCCAACATCTGACTTCGGCACACGACACATTGAACGGGCGAAGATCCCCACACGCTCTACATTCCTCTCCATCCAAATCCGCCCCACACCTCAGCCCGTTTTTTCCCTTCAGCCTTCGCCCAAAGTTCTGTCCGCTTACTTCGGTGACACGCGCGCGCGCAGGTCTTCGAAAAGTTATGTTGTGCATCTCTCGACCAAACTTGCCGCCCTTACTCACGAGATTTTCCTGCTTCCCCTAGAGCCCTTGTTTTTCTTTTTGTTCTCTCCCATGCTTTTCGTCGTCACAACCCACACCATGTGTTTTTCCTGTTGCCCCGTGGCCTGTTTTTTTTTTTCTTGTATTTTTGTTCACTGTCCTGTTTTTCGTTTTCGATACAACCCTCACCACCTGTTTATTCCTCTTGCCTTTAAGTCTGTTGCAGTTGTTGACTGTCTTTTCTTTTCTTTTTACACATCCCATAACAGTCGAGGATCTTCGAAGAGCTCTTCATGCCCTTCGACCTCAACCCGGTGGAGTTCCTGCGGCTCATGGACCTTGCCGACCGCCGCGTGTGGATGAAGGGAAACGACATCTGCCAGGCGGGCAGGCCCCACGAGGACATGTTCCTCATCGTCGAGGGAACCGCCGAGGTGTGTGTAGTACACCCCCCCCCCCCCTTCATGCTGCATCCCCTCCTCTCGCTCCAGTAGTCTGCCCAGATTTTGCTTGTAAGTACGCAAACATAACATTGGCTGTGTTGGGGGTCAGGGCCCGGGTTAGGGTTGCGTGCCCACCCCCCTGTTCTTTTTTCATAACATTCTTACTTTCTTTGCGTAGGCAATCTTCTCGCTGTGACATTTTTTGCAAGCCTTCGTAGCCACCGGGGGGCTGGCTCTGTAGCCACCTCACTTCTTCGAAGCCCTTGTGGCCGGCGCCGGAGCCAGCGGTAGCTCGGGTACTTGCCCGTGTTTCCGTCTCTATTTTTTTTCCGTGATGATGGTGATGGTGTTTTCTTGCTGCTGCCCCGGCGGGCCTGCCCGCACACCATCAGGTGAAGTCGGAGGGAGAGACGGTGTCGCACCTGGAACCCGGGGGATTCATCGGATCGATGGCCTTCCAGCGCTTCACCCAGGTGAGTCTTCGGTCGAACGTGTCCTCCCTAAGACCAAATTGATAAATATAACGTATCCAGGCAAATGATGTTGGAAGCCATAAGCTCGTCCGTTGGATGATTGGCTTTCAAACGCTTGAGGCTTCGGTCGAACAGGTCATCCCTGACACCAATTGGTGAGTATCCAGGCAAATGACGCACGAAACCACGTATTTTGGGACTACCGGCCTGTGAGTCATGCAACCATCTGCAGTGTGGATGGAAATGCCACAACACACGCACGAAATCTTTTTCTGCTACCAAGACAAGCTGCGTCGAATGTGGTGCCGAACGCGAAGAACACGTTAACCCCGCCGTACATGTTTTTTTAAACAAGTCATTGTGCAGCCACGCTCAACCAACATCAACTCTTCTCAGCTCTCTTCCCGAAACGGCGGTGTACGGATCGGCGTGTAACATGCAATGGTCTTCCAGCCGTACAGACTTTTTTTTTTCCACCCGCACTGAACACTCGACTTATTCAAGAATCATACGTTGCAGAAGAGAAAAGCAGCGATATTCGGGGCTTGCATGGCTTGGCTAGACCAATAGCCTTGTACTTGCAATAGGCCCCCGCGTCCGGAGGTTGTATACTTCAATTTTGGCAACAACCAATAAGTTCCTTTGTTTCAACATGCACTCTACGTGCCCAAACCAGTAGCTTTAGCGAGCAATTGAGCTTGGTTTTTTAAGTAGGGGGTACGTTGTTAGGCATTAGGATACGGAGTCCCCCTGTCTACTTCATTAGACATCAATTTTTCTCGTGAAGACGGTTTGCCGAAAGGCGTTGTAGTAGGATCGTCGTGCACTTGACCGATAACACGACACCGATCCTCCCCCCATACACCGCCGGGACGACGGACGATCTCAATCCTGCAGGAGGCGGAGGCGCCCGTTGACGTCACTCCCGAGGTGGTAAGGAGGAACACCATCAACAGCTCGGACTTCGTCTACATCGACAGCATCATCCTGGAGAACGGGAGCTCCGTGTACGGAGGCGGCGACGGCCGGTCCACCCGCAAGATCGTGAAGGAGGCTTTCCTCCACTTCATGCGGCAAGACCACATCATCGGGAAGGTGGCCAGGTCGCTGGTTTCGGACGTGATGGGCATGAGGGTCCACGAGGATGACATGGAGCGATCCAAGACCACGGTTACCGCTACTTCCGACGTGAGTTTTGCGCACCATTTTGTTTTTTAGGACTTGACGTTTTTCGTCGCCGATGGGGGTTCTTCCCTCGTTGATAGTTGTCGTGGTGGTGTTGGTGTGTAGCTGCCGCGGTTGTGGCGAGTTTAGGGGCAAGCATTCTCTCTCCGCCAATACTTTTCTTTTTTCGTTATTCAGCTAGCGCAGATCCCACCAAGGTCGCCGTGACAAGGGTGTGCAACACCCGTACCGAACCGGCTTTTTCGCCGAACGAAATTTGTATCTCGCACTGCTGTCCGGACGCAGAAACGCAAGTCCCTAACCGTATCCCTGCGTCCGCAGCGCCGTCTCGTCCGTCTGCCCCCACCACCCCCCCCGGTGTTTTGCCATCGGGGTTGGGTTTTCGTCGCTTGGCAACGACGTTGTAAAACAAGCCGCCCCCCCCACGGTGTTTTGCCATCGGGATTGGGTTTTCGTTGCTTGGTAACGACGTTGTAAAACAAGCCATGTCACTTCGTGAACTCGGCAACCAGGTTACCGGTTTTTTTTTTTGCGGTAACCATGAATGGTGGTCGAGTAGATCATGTTGTGCGGGGTCGAGAAGCCTCACTCCGCGCAAGCGGGATGATCGCACCACGTTGTGTTAAAATGGCCAAGCACCCTTCGAGGCAGTTACACAGTGCTTACAACTGTCTCTGGAAGTGAAAGCACCAGAAAATAAATTAAGTCATACGCAGCTGCCATTTGTATGCAAGGAAGTAAGCACAAGATGCCGAACACCCTTAGCAGGATGCAGCTCACCCTTCGTGCGACTCGCCGAATCCCTCACGGCGTTTCGCGCTTGGTGATGTGAGACCCTGGTCCGGTGAGAACCCGGCGTGTTCCGTCCCGGTTTTGTAGGGACGGGAGGTCAATGGTTTAAGGATTACGGCATGCGGGATTATGATTACCCCCCCCCCCCCCCGTTGCCGCCCCCCCGGTGTTTGTCGTGTTTTTGTTTTTCTTCGCTTGACAACGATGTTGTAAACTAGCCGATCGCTTCGTGAGCTCGGCAACCATGTTACCGCTTTTTGTTTGCCTTTGTTTTTTTTTTTCTGCGGTAACCATGAGTGATGGTCGAGCACATTATGTTGTGCAGGGTCGAGAACCCTCACTCCGCACAAAGGGGGTGATCGCAACACGTTGTGTTAAAGTGGTCAAGCACCCTCGAGGCAGTTACACAGTGCTTACAACTGTCTCTGGAAGTGAAAGCACCAGAAAATAAATGAAAGTCATGCGCAGCTGTCGTCCGTACGCAAAGAAGTAAGCACAAGATGCCGAAACACCCTTAGCAGGATGCAGGGCACCCGTCATGCGACTCGCCGAATACCTCTCGGCGCTTCGCACTTGGTGATGTGAGAGCCTGGTACGGTGAGAACCCGGCGTGCTCCGTCCCGGCTTTGTAGGGACGCGAGGTCAATGGTCTAACGACTACGGCATGCACGACTATGAGTACACCCCCCACCCCCCTGTTCCCTCCTCCCATCTAGAAATCGCGAACTGGGTGTTAACAGTAGTGCTGTGTCTCCCAACAACGGGCCGCGATGCGTTGTCGGCAGTCACACATGGCCATGGTAGGCAACCTCTAAGCAATCCCCCTCCCCCCCCCCCCTCACTAAACCTACACACGCCCCCGCGATGCCCGCACGAAACAACCAGGTCGTAACGTACGCCTGGGACATGCACGAGCTCCACGCTTTCCTGAAGCGCCGCCCGCTGATCGGAGCCTCCCTCCAGAAGGCGATGGCGGAGGACTTCATCAACAAGGTCTACCAGTCTCGGGGACACGAGGAGCGGTACCGGCTGCTGCTGGTGGAGTCCCTGGACCCGGGATCGATCAACCCCATCGGGCGGGAGAAGCTACGGAGGTATCTAAGAGGGCGGGGTACTGCTGTTGCTGTTGTCTTTTTTCCCACGACAGCGTTAGTTAGTAGTTGGGCTTGTTGCATGAACCGCGCTTTGTCTACTCCCACGATAGTGGCACTTGGTGTTTTGTTTCATTGGTTGGAATCGATGACGCTATTTAGCCGGCTGACCGATTAAAAGACGTATGGACGGGGATGGAAAATACCAACGCTTTCTGTGTGTGTTTTCGCTATTTGGCATCAACCGCGCTAGCCGGCTGACCTGAGTAAAGATGTCAGTATTGCAGCGAGATGAAAATCGCGCGCGAACTCTTTCTGTGTGTAAGCTTGTACCATTTGGTATCGATCGACTGCTCGCACCGACTGCCCGATGAAAAGACGACAGTCTCAGTGCGGTTGAAAATGCTTTTGAAGGCCACCTGTGTGTGTGTGTGTGTGTGTGAACATGTTTCTCTGAGACCGATGCCTTGGACCCGCATCCTTGATGGAAAATGGAAGTGGAGGATCCTGCCCGGTATGTATTGCTCATGTCACAGCTTTCATGCTGTGTGGGAGATGTGTTGTGTCTGCGCGTTGGTTGTATCGACACGTTCGGGTACTGCGCTTCGCTTGGCACTTTCTCTCGTTCTGTTTGTCTCCTAACCCTCCCCCCGCCCAATGTCACACGCCCCCCTCACCACCCTATCTTGCTGTGAACACGATCGCGCCACATTTACCTAGGTACCGCGAAACGCACCACATCTCCGAAGAAGTCCACAAGGGCTTCCTCAAGGAACAGGGCTGGACCGAGGAGGAGTACTATATGGGTTTCCAGCAGAACAAGGCCCCGCGGGACGGGTCGGCGCGTTTCCTCGAGTACGAAGCGTTGGTGTCGCGCGAGCTCTCCGGCGGGGAGGTGAGGAGCGGAGCAGGAGGTTGGAGCTAGCCCCCAACCTTTTTTTTTTTTTGTTCTTGACGCAACACAAAAGCTTATTTTATGTTAGCATAACACAACAGAGTGAGTTCACCTCTTTTCCATAGGTCAGGTCTAGTATTGGTAGTGACTCTCGTTAGCTGTTGTCGTTTATGGTGTTGTAACAGATGGGAGAAGGCGCGTGCTTCTGATGTCGTTGCCGGCTTAGCGTCAGGTCCTACAACATTGTGCCCGGGGTGTTGTATTTTTTCGTGATGTCGATTGTGGGATGCAATTTCTCGTGTTTAGTGTCTCCCTGTTTGGCCACTTACGCCTTTTTTTTCCGTCTGGTGCGGCAATGTGACGTTATTACTTAAATCCCGCCTGGTGCACCGTGGTTGACTAATACTCAGGTCACGCCGGAGGCGCGGTCGAACCTCCGAAAGTTCCGGTCCCAGGCTCACATCGACGCTCAGGAGCACCTCCTCGCTATCCAGAAGCAGGTGCGGCGGCGTGCTCGGGCATTGTTGTCGTGTTGATCTCGACAACTGTCGTTCTTGCTGTTTCGCTTGGTCTTCGTCGTTGTGCCTTAGGTAGCCCGTTGCCACGAGCCGCCCTGCTAGGTCGAACCAGGCACGGATGCTACTTATGTGACGTCCCCGGGGCGTCTCAGGAACCCAAATTCTTGGCAACCTTTGGGACAACTATGTGTTGCCTGGGTTCTGTTGTTTTTTTCACGAGGGCGGTAGGTTGAGAGCGCTCTCGCACTAGAATATGCAGAACGTACAGAGAGAGAGAGAGATGTCGCGAAAATTTGTGAACACATGTTACGGGGGGGAGGTATTCCTCGCGGAGAGCTTTCCCGAAAGCAGCTCCTGTCGGTGCCTTGCTTTCGTCCCGTTGTCTGACGGCTGTGCGCAATACATATCACGAAGTAGGTTCCGCGTAACATGTCCCACGCGTCGTGGAGCATTTAACACCCCTAACCGTTTTGTTTGAGTACCCTTTTTGGGGGTAAGTTAGCCTGTGGTACCTCAGTACGGACAGAGGAAGGTACTAGGCAAAGAGATCGGAATGGTTTTCATTGTGAAGGCAACATCAACAACGCTGTATACAAGTAGCCGATGCCCTACCCCCCCTGGTTTGAGACCGTGCCATCCGCGACCCAGTTGTGCTTGCTACCCTGGAGTATGGCAAATGACCCTAGCCAGAATAGCATTGACTTATCTCTGTAACGATTCTGTGGAAAGTATGTTCATTTTCTGAAAAAATAACCTATGCCCGTTGGTCAAGATACCACAGGATAAACTCTTGGTGAGTCCACCCCTTTCGGTGAGATCGTTGCTGTGGGAACAATGCTCCGTCCTCTGAAGGACGCGTGATGAATGGTCTAACCGCCAAGACATGTAAAACATGAGTACCCCCCCCCCCGCCCTTCATTCCTGCACTTATTTCTCGCAAGGGCTGGACGGCGGACGACTACGAGGCGGGTGAAAAGGGCGCGGCGGGACACTACGATGAGATGGTCGGCAACGCCGATAAATTTCAATAGAGCGAGCTAAATAGTGTCACCGTAGGACCGCCGGAGTTTGGCAAGAGTAGCTCCGAGCGGCCAGCGCGCTGCAGACGGCAGCGGCCCTGTCGGCATGGTGTCCCCAGCGCATCTTCTCGCGACGCCGACCCGCGGGAGGATGGGTAGGGAGAGCGTTGACAGATGGCGCTTTTCCGACCTGCATTTTTGGTGCGTTGGAAAACGTACATTGTGGCTTTTGAGGGATGTGGGCAGCGGGGTGTGTGCTGCCGTGTTTTCAGTCCTGGGGTAGAGGTAGAAGCCTTCTTTTTCGACGACGAGGGTTCATAGAGATGTTCATGCGGCACGGTTGTGTACACACCGAGGGCGAGCGGCTCTGCCGAAACAAAAAAATTGTTTGGGGGGGAGGGGGGGGGTGTCCTTGTGGTCAGTTGAGGGCGGCCTTGGACCCACGTGGTGCACCCGTTAGCTCGACCGAGATTGTTGCGTGTTCCGGCTACTGAGTGTGCAATTTTCCGTCCCGCTGGTAGGCCATGCTTGGTTTTCTGAGGCATTTGGGACTGCGCACCTGACAGCTGCTGCGGGCGTTGGTTTTTACTTTTTGTGTATGTTTTGTCGCTTGTTCTATTTTGTGATTTCGTTCGGGTTCATTGTCGCGAATACCCCCACGTGCAACAGTTCGGTGTATATGTGGTGGCATGTAGTGCGCTCTGTCTTTTTTTTTTTTGCTACAGCATGCCGCTTGATAATTTTTGGTGGTCATCACGAGCATTAGCAGCACTCGGAAAGTCGTGAAACCCGCTGGGCTCTGTCGCAGTACATAGGGCAAGAGCTGCTGGATGTGGCAGCAGGGAGGAAAAATGTTGGGTCCCCATCAGTGGTCAGATCGTGCAATGTGTTTGGGATGAAGGAGAAGTAACGGCGAGAGATGCTAGTCTCTACTGGAAATCCGCAGTAGTGCGCGTGGCGGGTGACATTTGCGGACTAGGTTTCGTGTTTTTCCCAGGACGAGGGGTGAGAGCTAAAACTTGAAACTTTCCGTCGTACAGTTTTTTTTTTTCAATCCTTGTGGGGGGGGTTCCAGAGCGAAAGCAAACGTGGTTTCGTGTTTTTCCCAGGGCGAGGGTGAGAGCTAAGAATTTCCGTCGTATACTTTTTTTTGTGCACGCCTTTTGGGGGTTGTCAAGAGCGAAAACAAACGTGTCCCGAAGGCATACAAAACTGCGTACATGCAGCGCGTGCCTTTCTCTTTGCGTTGCGCAGCACGCCGTTTGCCCCTCACGTGGGTTTCCTCTACGCTTGCGTTTAAAAAAGATGAAAAAAGGACACCCGGCGGGAAGGAGAAAAGCATCATACGCTACGAACATGAACCAGACACCTCACTCACCTGTGGGTGATGATGTCCGGGTGGAAGGCGACTACCGCTGTACCATACAATTGTACTCGAACCACAACCAGCCACAGGGCTTTGGTATGCGTTCACCGGTGTTCCTTTGCAGTGTAGAGCGTGTGTGTATGTGGGTGGGTGTTAGGTTGTTAACGACCCACCCCTCTACACGAAAGAACATTACTTGCACTCACAAACGTGGAGGACCAACCGGACATTTCAATGTTGTCACGTGTACAAGTATTTACCTCCTTTAGGCCTCTGTACCTACGACCTCCTTTAGCCCTCGTTTCCCACGTGCCCATCATTCTATACAAGAAACCCAACAGCAACTAACTGCTGTGAGACGCAGACAACCTATTCTTGATGCCGAATTGGACATTACTTGATGCGCATATTGTACATATCTTGACGAAGATCGCCCGGCGGGATGCCTGTATTGTTTCTTTGCCAGAGGCTCCGCCGCACTTCGCTTTCCCCATCATTCTCTCCCTCGATGTGTGGTACACTCATCATAAGGCTCGCCGAAGAAATCCGCTGCTCTAGCATAATTATTTGTTTGACACCGAAAGCTTCCTTCCGTAATCCAGAGAAGGGTGCAAAGCTCAACGCCGACTGCTGGACTCTTCCCCGCGGGACTATATTACAGCAGTACACGTGGGTGAACAGCCCAGCAACCGGCCGGGGCATTGTATGTGCAAGTTGTACATTCAACGGTCCGGTCCGTTTAAAACTGCAACTACTGCTGTTTGACAATTATTTTTCGTGCCGCTGCCGGCCCGTGGTGCACCGAGGTCTCTTGAGAGAAGGCCGTGGCCCTGCGGGTTTGGCCATGTCCAGATAGATGTAATATTGTTCAGGCCGCAAGACAAGGCTCCGTTGTAGCACCGCGAAGTTTCTGCCGAGTGTATGATCGTGACAAGGTTCACAGAACAATATCTACTTGTATCGCAATCATGCACCTCATACAACCGCCAATAAATGTACCGCCCTTGTTGTATGTTCAATGTGGCCGAAAAAAAAAAAGTTGGCCACGCTGGACCACGAATTCCGCCGCTGGTCTTACGTTGTACAACGTCAAAGAACAAACGTGTCGCTGATGTCGGTGAAGTTCCAGTCAAGATGATGATGACACGCACCAATCCACAATCAACCACACCACTTCGCTCTCTCTACCCAGAACTCACGGACAGGCGCGGCACCTCGACAGTCTCCAGGCGGCTGAGAGGTGAGGCGCGTTGCTGTGCTGAGCCGCGAGCTCGACAGCCACCGACTGCAGCGCTGTTGTTGTTGTCCTTTGGTGGCGAGAGTTTTCAAAGGTGTGCTCTTGCGGGCGGTATGTTTATCATGTGTGGGCTAGCGTGTAGCAAACCCAGCGTAAGCACAGAGCTACAAGCTTCAGCTAGCCAAACACCGTGGCCATCGCCAGTGTAGCATCGATTCGGCTGTGTTCTCCGCTCTCTCTCGGCCTCTCTATTTCGTCTTGTGTGCCTTACGCCACCTGGTTGCGCGTAGACTTTTTCATCAGCAGCCGCACCATACAGAGAAGAGCGAGAGAAGAGCGGAGAAAGTACACGAAAAAAAAACAACCGCCGTTGCCTCTGCTCTCACATGCACCCTGGCAGCACACAACACACAGCACGTACAACGCTCTTTTTTCGACCTCTTCGCCTCGCCCCCACCCTGGTGGTCGAAGGCGATTTTCGGGGCAGGTTCAGGGGCTGGAGTTCGAATGCCAAAAGACAAACACCGTCGCTCTTGCAGCAAGAAGTCGGGCCGCTCCTCATCCAAGAACAGCAACAACGGCACCGAAGATAGCCGAGGCCCTGCCGTCCGTCGGCTTCGAATCCCCGATGAGCCGCCCACGCTCCCGCCGCGGGACGTCAGCAAGGCGGGCAGCAAGAGGGAGGTCCTCGCGGACATCGCGAAGAGGATCCCGGTGGAGTTGATGCGGGAATACTTCAATTATCCCTTGCGGGTGTCGGCGGAGGTAGGTATGGTGCAATGATCCTCTGTGTCGTGCGTGATATGTCGTTAGGAGCGCGCGCTGGTTTATTTTGGGCACACCACAACCGCTCACCTATGCGTACATGCTTTGGGTTCTGTCCTCCTTTGCTTTCGGGGGGCTTCGCTGTGGTCTACCTAGTGACGGTGGGCAGCGCTTTCCGTGCTCTTGGTAGTTATCTTCTCTTTCTTGTCATTGAGTCCTGCAGCCTTTGTCCACAAGAATAAATCCGATGGATCCGTGGGGAGTGGCGGTTGGTAGCAGCGAACTTGCTGCTGAAAAGATGCTGCCGCATGCCACGAGGCTGCACAAGGGAGAACACACAACAGAGAGGGGGGAGGAGGCTGGCACCCACACAGGAACGTGTTTGGCACCCCCAAGCCCTCCCCTATAACACACCCTTTGCGAGAGAACCGAGTTTGCTGCACCCGCTGAAATTGCCCACCGAAACCTATGGTTAAACATCAACTGGAGAGAGTGACGTTTCTGCGACATCAACCCGCAAATGGTACCTGACCAATACCGTCCCGCTCTAACTGAGATCCGCGCGAAAATGGGCCGCTTGTTGTTGTTCTTGCACGCGCATCGGTTGGATTTGAAAGCCTTGTATGCATATTCGTGTAAACATGTCGCCTTGATGTGTGGAGGCGAGGCACGTACTGCAGAGGATATGATGGTACCAATGATTCATGAGCATCCAACCAAAAGACACCAGTAGACTATTTGTACACGCCGGTTCTTTCTATCTCTTGGGGCGTGTCTTTTCAGGTGGAACAACACCTGTGCAGTAGTGTAGTGGATCGATGCTGTGCGAGGGAGATTTTTCGATCGTGTGCGGGCGAGAGCAACATTCGAGCTCGAACCTGATACTGCCGCTGACAGCTCGTATTGACATGGCCGTTTCAATTAATATATTGCTTATTTGTGCGTTGATGCGGCTGAACTGTCAATCTCTCTGTGTTGACTTTTAACCTATAGTTTGATCGGCAATTGCTACCATGGCGCAAGTCACCGTATGACACTACGGAATGCATTCAAAAATTCGATACACTCGGCATTTGCCATACATACCTCCCTCTGTATGTCGTAATCTCGGTACTTCAGATGTAGACTTTTGACGTAGAAAGTCGTACATGTAGGGGGGGGGGGGGGCCCTCCACTACCAATTTTTAACATGGAGCTGCCTACCCCTTCCCCCCCCCCCCAAAAAAAACCCCAACACGTTGGGGGGAAGAAATTTAGGGTTTGTCCTTGTGTGCCGGAAACAACCATACCCAGCACCCCCCCCCCCGGAAACAAGGGTGGTAAAACCCACTTTAAAAACCGCCTTTTTTTTTCAAACCTTTAAAAAATGGTGAACCTTTTAAC